CACACAAACAAACACACACATATAGACACACAAACAAACAAATACCCAGATGAGTGGAAACATATGCACACACACACAAGTAGAAACACTCAAACACACACACACACACACATCAACATGAGTAGAAACACTTATACAAACATATACACACACATACTGTATGTCTACAAACACACACACATTAACATGTGTAGACTCACAGAACAAACACATACACAGATGAGTGAAAACACACACACACAAACACACAAGTAAAAACACACACACACACACACATGTTGAAACACATAAACACACACACAGAAATGCACACATATACATGTAAACACACATAAGCACAAGTGTACACACACACACATAACTGAACTGGTCTGAATGGATTGTCTTGAACTGTGTTAAAGATCAGAATGCACGGATCAGCTAAAGTCAAGCTGTCTATCAAATACATCACTGACAACGACAACAACGGAGCCAATGAGAATAACATGGTGCCTGATAACGCTGTGCCATTTTCCTGGGTGGTGAAGAGATGGACACCCTGCTCCAAACCCTGTGGACGAGGTACTCGAATCCTCACCGTCATTCAGTTCAGATCAGTGTGATGTAGATACACAGCAGAGTTCCCCTTACATCTCTACCGTCTACAAAGATGCATTCACTTTTTTTAAAAAGCCAAGGGCGTAGATTTGCTCTTGATATTGGTGGAGACGTACATCCCCAGAGCACATGTATTGAACAGCACAAATTCTGTTTCGTGCTTTTAAACGCATTTAAACACTTAGGGCCCTATCACACACCCGGCGCAATGTGGCGCAAGGCGCAGCGCAATAGTCTTTTACTACTTTTAGCTCGGCGCAAGGGTCATTTTGAGGTGTTGCGCCCCGCTGTTTAAATAGCAAAGGCATTTGCGCTCATATGTGCGCCCATAGGCGTTCTGGTCTAAAAAAGCAGGCGTGTTTTGGCGCGTTGCTATTTTGAGAAACTGTAAATAGTCTGTTCTTTAGACCAGAACAAAGTCGGTCTATTGTCTGGCGCAAAGTGCACCTGGCTTACACACCACACACAAGATGTAGAGCAATACGCAAATATCTTTACACATGAAAAATATATAATATATTAAGGATATATATATATATATATATAATAAGGATATATATAGGATATTAATATAAATGATTAGAATATTACAAAACATTATTTTCTAGCCTACATTATTTTAAAAACCACTGCCTTCATACTTTCTTCATCTCGGTAGGCTTTTTCAGTTCATTCAATTTGCTTTTGTATAATGTTTATAGTTATTATTGGCAGTATTATTTATTATATCCATATTTATATTTGTTTTATTAAAAACAAGCTTGGATTTGTCCACCTGTCAAATTTTAGACCATATGGGGCATGGCAGGTGTATTTGGAAATAACTCAGTATTTTGACCACACTTGGTTATTATTGTTCACTATTCGTTTGCTGGAAATTAGAACTGAATTTAGAAATAGTTTTGAAACAAATCTTTGCGCTTAACAAACTAAATTAATTATTTATAGGCTAATTGATGTCTGTGCGTAAAGGTTTCCCTATTCAAGAGTGAAAGCGAAAGTGAACCTACTTTACGTCATGTAAATAGCAAATGCGCTGATGGCGCGACATAACTGGCTCCTAAAGGGAATGGAAGATGAGACTCTGATTGGTTTATTCTCAAAACACACCTATAACTCATTAAGAAAATAAACTCAACTCTTTTAGACCATGCGCCATGGCGCAAAGCGGATTTTCCCATCCTTAAGTTAGCAAAAAAGCGTTCTGACACGCCCTGAAAGCGTTTGCGCCCTGCGTTTTGCGCTCTGCACATGGACCGTCAAAATAGAGCCCTTAATAATCCAAACAACAATTAATGAAGCATGTCCTATGCCGCAAAAGTCTATCTCCATGATTTTACTGTACTCTGACTTTGAGGAGGTATAAACGTACAGACATTTTGAGAGATATGTGACGCAATTTAACTATTTTATCCCTATTGTCTATTATTTACAGTTGAGGTCAGAATTATAAGCCCCCGTTTATTTTTTTCCCCATTTTCTGTTTAACACATTTCTAAACATAATAGTTTTAATAACTCATTTTTAATAACTGATTTATTTTATCTTTTGGCTATGATGACAGTAAATAATATTTAACTAGATATTTTTCAAGACACTTCTATACAGTTTAAAGTGACATTTAAAGGCTGAACTAGGTTAATAAGGTTAACTAGGCAGGTTAGGGTACTTAGGCAAGGCAATGTCTTATAGTGGTTTGTTCTGTAGACCAGGGGTTCCCAAACTTTTCAGCCTGCGACCCCCAAAATGACAATGCCAGTGACTCGCGACCCGCAAAATCCTCTGAGGTGGTTATAAATACAGAAACTTTGCATGCAATGGCGCACACACACCAATAGACCCAAGTCTATTCTTCATTAAAAAAATTTTTAATGTATGTGAGTGCTGTAAATGGGCCAGAAAGTTTAACCTGGTGTTATAAAATCAATCTGCTGCATTTGACGCTATTGCTGTGTCTTTAATGTAATGTAATGACCCCAGGGGTCGTAATCCAATACAACTGGTAACTATATGCTACTGTAGTAAATATATAGTAACTATAAACGACTATTTTTTTTCTGTTAAGTAGGTTATGGATAAAATATGGTAATTCTTATGGTTTAATAAAAATAAATAGACTTTTGGAAATCACCAGGCGACCCCCCTTCATTGTCCTGCAACCCCTCGGGGGGTCCCGACCCCCACTTTGAGAACCCCTGCTGTAGACTATCAAAAAATATAAAATTTTGGTAATTGGTAAAAATTAAAAACTGCTTTTATTCTAGCCAAAATAAAACAAGTAAGACCAGAAGAAAACATTTTATCAGACATACTGTGAAATTCCTTGCTCTGTGAAACATCATTTGGGAAATATTTAAAAACAAAATTCAAAGGGGGGCTAATAATTCTGACTTCAACTGTATGTCTATGGAACCCTTTGAGCACATCTAGGTTACTAAGGGATGACAGAGCATTATTTTAGTTTGAAGGTGATTAAATTACTGCTGGGGACATTTCAGTAATTGGTGGATATTGGTGGGGACATGTCCCCTCCGTACATGCCAATTCTATGCCCTTGTAATAAGCAATGGAAGAATAACATTATCTAACCATATCCTCTGACAGACCAATGTTGAGTACATTTTGACATTTTAATATCATATTATATTTACATTAGAATACATGGTTTATTAGTTTTGTTTTTATTTATAGTTGAAGCCCCCTGTATTTTTCCCCAATTTCTGTTTAACGGAGAGAAAGTGTTTTCAGCACATTTCTAAGCATAATAGCTTTAATAACTCATTTCTAATAACTAATTTATTTTATCCTTATCATGATGACAGTAAATAATATTTGACTAGTCATTTTTCAAGCTACTAGTATTCAGCTAAATATCAGTTATTGTATAACAGTGGTTTGTTCTGTAGACTATCGAAAACAAATATTTCTTAAGAGTGCTAATAATATTGACCTTCAAATGTTTTTTATTTTTATTTCTTTTTTATTAAAAGTTGCATTTATTCTAGCTAAAATGAAAAATAATACTTTCTCCAGAAGAAAAAAAATATTATAGGAAACTTTGTGAAAAATTCCTTCCTCTGTTAAACATCATTTGGGAAATCTTGTGTTCAGGCACTCAGATGGCACGTTACGGCTGTCGTAAGACTGCAGAGATGCAGATGGTTCATCGCAGGTTCTGTGAGAAGCTCAAGCTCAAGCAGCCGCCGCCAATGTTCATAGACTGTTACCTGAGAGAGTGTGCGCAGCCCATGTGAGTCCGTCTCGGCTTTTCATTCACATTTACACTTTTAGGGAACATAAATTTATTCATTTTTATTTGTGCTGTGTATAAATGAACCATTAATTTCCATTCAAAATAAAACTTTGTTTTTCACAAAGAAATTATATATAATTTACACGTGTTATATGACTATGAATAGTTAAAAAAGTTTTTCATTAGCAGTTTTCCTGCAGCTACTGTTATACTCCAGCAGATGTCGCTGTCTCACTGCTCTAACTGTTGTTGCTAGAAGGGATACAGCTGCTACCAGATTTTATTAAAATACCCATTAGTTGTATTTTAATAATGTTTACCCTGAACCCTAAACCCAACTTTTACAGTAATCTAGAAACTAATATTATACCGAAAATGTTTCATGTTATTTATTAAATTACCCTTTAAATTGTATTGTATTAATGTCCACACCTACCCCACCACTAAACCCAAACCATCACAGTAACGTAAAAACAGTAATTATACCAATTATTATTTATATTATTCATTAAATTATCCAATTATTATATTTTAATAACGCCTACCCCCACCTCAACCATAAACCCACCCTTACAGTACTGCAAAAACAGCAATTATACAAAAATATTTATCAAATTACCCATTAATTGTATTTTAATAACGTTTACCCCCACTCCAACCCTAAACCCAATATATATATATATATATAAACCAAATCCTCACAGTAATGTAAAAACAGTAATTATAATGAAAAGTATAAATATTGTTTATTAAATTACCCAATGATTGTATTTTATTAACGTTAATTCCTACCCCAACCCTCACAGTAGTGTAAAAACAGTAATTATGATGAAAATTATTTATATTATTTATTAAATCACCCATTAAATTGTATTTTAATAATGTTTACAAACACCCAGCCCTAAAGCCAACCCTCACAGTATGTTAAAACTGGTAATTATAATCAAAAGTATAGATATATTATTTAATGAATTACCCAATAATTATATTTTATTGACGTCAATCCCTACCCCAACCCACATAGTAATGTTAAAAAAAAAACATTTTCCCTAAAATAATTTATATTTATTAAATTACCAGTTAATTATATTCAAATAACGTTTACCCCCACTCCAACCCTAAACCCAACCATCACAGTACTGTACAAACAGTAATTATAATGAAATGTATTATATGTTTATTAAATTACCCGTTAGCTGTAATTTAATAATGTTTACACCCACCCAGCCCTCACAGTAATGTAAAAACAGTAATT